ATATAACTCTAATAATTATCGCGGAAATCACTCGGCTTAACAATTATTATTAATTGTAATTTTATATTATGTAGAGCGCGTTCGTGTCAATTTGATGGTATTTTCCTTTCGATATCGTGATCAAATTGATGTATGTACCGTTCCATTATTTTGAGTTATACAATGATTGCAGCAATACTTTTTTTATCAACTCGATATCAATGTAAACTAGTGGAAATGTTCGGTAATGTGAACGCAATTTACTGCAAAATGTGTTTTTATCTCTTATGGAAAGGTCGCGGTTGAAGGCCGAGTGATCCGACAGCGATATTTTCTCACGATCCTTTTGCCGGCAGAAGCTGATAGAACTCGCAACGATTGAAGAGTTATTATCGAGCATTCCCTTCGCGATATAATATAACCTTAAATACTAAGAAATCACCTATGAATCGTTACAGTGTGAACGTTCGAGAGATTCTGCATATCAGCGCGCGTGTAGCTTGTTTCTCGATGACACGTTTCGCTATCTCTACAGAGTTTTGGAGCGGGACGAGGTTCGAAACGTTCGAAATATACGAGAGCTCATTTCGGGAAAGGAGGACGCTCTGGCAATTACCAGCCAATTTCGAATAATCCGTAATTTCTGGCACTTGTCAAAATATCTTTCGCGTTAAACAGGCTCTCGCCTCGGAACTCCAATTAATTATAAATTGTTATTAAAGAATTATGCTCCTGTGTACTGAATAAATTTCGATGCAACTACAATGGAATAATCGCTCGTTGCAAAAGTATTTTCGAATGAAGCCGTGATAAAAATTTAGTTTCGTATAGCTTTAAAAATATCGCAGGAAAAATAGTTGAGAGGCGATCCGCGGGTGATGGTGATTGATCTTGGTGCTACCTTATAGTTTATAAAAATATATAGACGAGGCTTAAGCAAGACGTATCGGCGTTAAATAGATTTTCGATCAGCGCGGCTAATGAATGGAATTTGAACGACTTAAAGTCTTCTGATGTAATCCAGCGACGCGTATCTGACGTAATCCTCCCCGCCGAGGCGCCTAATCGCGCATGATTCGCGCGATTTCGCGATCGGAGTATTAATCGTCGGCGAGAAGGCCGATTATCGATCCTACGCTAATTATACTAAATCGATGCGGGCCGACGCTTCGTCAACGATTAATCTTGAACCGCAGCCGCCGATGGCTACCTTAATGCACACCTCTAACAATAACAATCGACGTTTAGATCGGCCGACGTTCGAGACGGGAAATAGATTAGCTTTAACGGTTATCCTAGAGACTCTTGTAATCTAACTTTAGATAAATCGTCTGCCTCTAAATTGCGAAAACAGATAGTTCGACCCCGTATGCAACGCGAATGTCCAGAAGATATCTTGAGGGACGAGAACTGAGAGACGCAGTCCCGCTATTCGAATAGCGAATCGGATTATTCATTATTCGTTATATTTATGTATATATACGCGAATAAAAATATGCAATATTCGTTTGCGCGACGAACAATGACTATTCGTTACTCGCTATGCGGATTGTATTTTAAATATTCTGTGCTGCTGTCTCTGTCTGTTTGTTAAGGTGCTGCCTCATGACAGTCCGAATTTCGGAAAACGGAATATCAAAAAAGTAATACAACCAAGATTAGCGCGTTACACGAATGCGCTAAACTTAAAATGATTCCGATTGGCCGTATTATTTTTCCGAAATTCCATTTTCCGAAATTTCGATTGTCACGAGGAAGCACCCTTAATCTTTAAAATACGATATCTTTCGGATGTTCGTGTTGCCAGGATCGATCGCTAAACCCTTCCTCCTGTGAACAAACAACAGATTATCTGCTACTCGTGATCGCCCTCTCTGCTTACCCGCTAAGATGAATCTTGCTACTTGTTAGGAATTTTTTTTTAGTTTCTTGTCTACCTGCTCATGATCCATTACGTTGATGTATGTACCGAGTGACACAAGAGGAACAGAGATTCCCTTCTTCGTTTCCGAAACGGAAGGACTGATCCTCGTAAGTAATGTTTCGAATATCGTCAATTTCGATGGGAAAATACGAATCGAGAAAAATGGGATTAATTCAATACTTGACCAGAAATTACAAGCGATTCTCTAATATTGAATTAATCATATATATATATATATATATAAAACAAACTTTCACCAATATGAAAATCTGGCTACATCGAGGATAGTGCCGCGTCCCTTCGCGTCACCCGGTGTAATAGATTATCCGCGCTTTAATTACAATTTATAAGGCTACTTTAAAGCAGTTACATAATAATCGACAACTCCGCTTGCTCGCATTCGCCTAATCGGTCGTAACTACTATATATATATATATGTATATACTCGGTGTGATGCACAGTAGTTCATAATAGTAATGGTAATTAGTAGCAATAGTATAATAATAATAATAGTAGTAATAGTAATAATAATAACATCATTATTGTTATCCTCACTGTTCCTCTGTTAAACGTTATCTGTATGTAGGTTATCCACGTTATTTATTTGTTCGATCCTCTTCTTTTCCTCTTTTTTCTCTCTCTCTATGTGTTTTACGGCTAGAAAGTACTTGCCGAGCGACAGAAGCAACCATTTTTGTTCGCGCTGTCGCTGCCGCCACCTCCATTGCAGCATCAGCTCCCTTAAGTGTTCGATCTTTAGGTAACGTCGATGTCGTTGACAACAATTATGGTCCAATATATCGATATCGATTTTTGCGCGGAGAATGTCGCCACGTCGTTTCCTTCTGCTCGAGCTGTCGAAACTATCGGCGCTTTCTTTCACGAATCGGTAAGCTAAAACGTCCGTCTCAAGTCGTCCCAAAGAAATAGGATATGTCAGGCGACACTGTGTCCCCTTGTTGTCAATTGACTCCATCAGGTTGTAATTGGAATACTTCAATTGCGTATGTAATACTCTCCCGAACTCGTTGTAAGACAATGGACGAAACTGACTTGTGAACAATTCTTATGGAAAGTTGCGTTTAATGTCCATTACGTACGTATGCAAAAATCCCGTTAACTCTTTTAAAGTAGGTATCATAAACGTCCAAAATTGACTCGATCAGATTGAAATTGTGATTGAAGTACCTTAATTACATACACTTCTCCGTATTAATCTCGTCGTAAGACAATATGGACGAAAATGACTTCTGAACAATTTTTATGGAAAGATGCGTTTGATGTCCGCTAGATATGGGAAAACCATCTAACTCTTTTAAAGTGTCACAAACATCCAAAAATGTACAAGGAAAAGGAATTTAACTTCTGATAGATGCTCGTTTTATTGAAAGAGCTTAATGCATTTTCTCTGTAGGTAACACATCCTATTTCTAATTTATCAAAACTAATAATTTATTTTGTATGTCTCGAGACTAATGTCTCTTCCTTATTTCCTTCCGGGAAATATCTTTTATGTGCAATGGCGAAGTATCCTTGCGAACGATGCAGAACGGACGAGTTTGAATTTCTTAATGCGTGCTTCGTCTTTCTGATGTAATCAAATTTATTATTCAAACGATAATCGGCTTTGCTAAAATAAAAGGATAAAAAACGGAATTGCGAAAGATCAAACTCTTTTTATTATTATAGTAAATTTTTCTTTTTAATAGAGGAAAATTCATATTGATACGATCGAGTATACAATCTATAACATCACTGTAACGTCAAAAAAGATCATAAGGGTTTAACTGTTTTAAAAAAAATTGCCCATGAAAAAACAATGTTCCTGAACGACATTGGCATCCTGACACCTTTGGGCATCAATAACTCATTAAAGCGCACGGATAACATTAGTTGTCCTGACTCTTTCTTGCTGCGCCATTTTTACTTTTATTCTTCAAATATTCAAGATACTTTTTAAAAATTTATTATAAATCAGGTGAGAACTTTGCTTTTTAGAGATTTTTCAATATAAACATGATTAATCCTTCTTTCAAGATAACTTTATGTCTATTTAAAAGCTTAGTAAATTATTCAAATTTATTGCTAAAAATCTTTTTTTTGGGCCGACTATATTTTCATCGATAATTTCACGTAAAATCAGAAGAGCTACGTTTTAATAGTTTAATAATAATTTAATGGTTTAATAACAATTACGGGGCGAGTTTTTCTCTCGTGTGGCTTTGAAAAATAATAATATAATGAAAAGAGAGCATGACACATTGAAATATTTATGAAATTCAAACACACCGTGCGAACTTCGTACGAAATATTGATATATCGGCGCCTGCACTCTTTAGCCGTCGCTTTTTCGGCTCACCAACCCACCGGCCGTCCCGATGTTATTAAACTCGCATGTACGAGGCCAGTGGGCGGACGGAAGAAGCGACGGAAGAAGCGTCGATAAAACGTCCGACGAAAAATGGAACGCCGAAACTTTTTGAATAAATTCAATCCTCCGTTGAAGACCGACAGAATGCTGTCCCTCAACAGGGAGTTGACCCAGAGATCTCAGAGAAGAAAAAATCATTATATAGGGAACGATGTTCTCTTATCTGCTTTTTCATTTGAATTTTTTCTACCGGAAGATTTTTTTACAAAGAAAATATTTTAAAAATCTTACTTTTTCTTGATATATATTTTTTTAATTATAAAGTCGTAATATTCTCTCCCAAAGGTAAACCCAATATGATATCATTATTCTCTCATCTAAGAGTCCGTTTTTTCAAGCAAGTTCTGTGGACCTACTGAAAAAAAGAAGTGTTTAATTTTAAGATATTAAAATGTTTTTTATTTTTGTCTCCATTTTTTTTAAAACTTGAAGATGTTTTAGTTTTAAAACTAATACTTTTTCAATAGACAAAACACTACATACTTGTATTTAAAACGCATAGTGTTTTAAATCCAAACACGTAGTGTTTTGTCTATTAAATAAATTTAAAACTAAAACATCTTTAAGTGTTTAAAACATGAAAATAAGAATAAAACACATTACCTTTTACAGTAGACCGATTAGTTGGTGATAGCTAAAAAAATTACACCGTAAAAAAATGCAGTCTGGTAAACAGTAGAGAAAAAAAAAGCTGATCACGCACGAGAGAAGTCTCGCTCAAATGTGCGTCTGCAAAATCGGATCGCACGAAAGCTACCGTGAAAATGGATAAGCGCGGTACAATGATGATGGTGGCGACTATTTCTTTGTCGTTCTCAAATCGCGTGTTGTACAAATGTTAAATATCGTCGCTACCACCCCGACTATTTCATCATTGGCAAGAAATCGCGTGCGGAACGTGTATTTCCGAAGCTTCGAGACATTGCATTGGGTTAGATATTTTTTAAATAAAATTCCACACACGATTATCTTGTTTCTATATCGGGACAATAAAAAAATTATAACGAGTTCGTCATTGATAACGATAGTTCTACGCGGGATATCACCTTGTCTGCCATAGACGAGTTCTCGATTCTAAACGAGACTTGCCAAACGAACTTTCACTCAAATCCGATCAAGAGAACTTTACTGTCGAGGGCAGTCGATCCGTAAAAGCATGCGGAAGCGTGCGAATTTAATAGAGTGAAGAAGGAGAAGTTGGCGTGATAACGCATCAAATTTAACGAGCCGATTTCTCCGCGTCACTTAACTCTGCTCGAGTTTAGCAAGTGCATTCAGCGTTCGCTGAATTGAGTCGGCTGTGATTGTACGACGTGGATACAGTCGCGCGAAATGGAAGGCGACAGTATGAATCGGTTAGACGTGACATTTAATCAGGGAGTAAATGCTTGGGAATAATTTGTAGCATTTATTACATATGCATTACTTATTAAATTTGTTATATTTTCTTAATCACCGTCCATGAGATTTTTCTCAATAAATTGGAAACAGAATAATTATTCTCAATGTTGGATTTACCTTTCAATATTATGGTTCCGATACAAAAAAATATTTCGAAAAACGGACTGTTTGAAAAATGTACAACGAGCATCTTAAAGATCGGCTTTGTGAATATGTATATCTACAAATATGTGTATCTACAATATTATACGAACAGTAAACTTTACTTTATGTGATATCAACTTTTAAGTAAGAAATCATGCTTTAACGTTTAATAAATCAATCCTTTGTCAGTCGACAATAGCAGCAAGAATAATACATCAATGCTAATTTCCACAGCTAATGATATATGTATACAACTGATAAAGTTAACAGAATTGTTTTTCAAGAGACATTATGCATTGCAATGTTTGCTGATTATCACGAATTTCAATTTTATCTGGATTAAGCACATTCAAAGTAATCGATGTCAAAAAGTAGAAAGCACGCGTTAATCGTCGCAAAAGGGAAGATATGTTTAATTATAAACGATAACATAAAGTTTTATTGGACTTTCTGAAAGGACCAAAGGACGACTATCGACGTATAGATTCGCATGTAGAAAGCCTCGATCGTTCGGCACAGATATCCGAGATGCAAGTTGCAACATTCTCTTCCCACTTCCCTCCCTAAGTGCAAGTTTTTGTGATTCAAGTTTTGTGAAGGATGGCGTGTGTGACGTCCGCAGCGCGGTTCTATCGTCTTGCAGGACGACACGTATTAGCCACGAAGGCTTCGGCACACCACGAAGACCGCCAACGAGATCGCTAGGACGAAGTACGTGCTGCTCGACGCTGTCAACGATGGACCGGAATTGCAGCCATCCTGCTGGCAACAGTACGTCCTCGTGCTCCAGGCCTCTGAAACAGTCGATTTGCCGTTCAGCAACTTAATCTGACTACTACAAGTGTCCTTGACGTTCAAATCTCTTATCGACATTTTTATTTTAATATTTACTTTGTGTTATTCAATATTTATATTGATTACCCTAAAGAGAAATGATCCTTTCGTCTTAACTCGAAGATAAAATTTTAGAGGTAGCTCTTAATTAAGATAAATCTAGAATTTTTTTCAAAGAGGGGAGAGAGATTTGTCAATTCTGGTTATCACATAAATCTTCTGATGGACACATCCACATTTTTAATAATGTGTACTTTCGTAACTTATTACATACATATAACGGACGATAAATCTCGTCGAAGAACAATAATAATCCTTAAGAGAATCATGGACTCCGAATTTTCTCAGCTAGGTTTAATATTGGCAAATAAAAAGAGAAAAGAGAAAAGAGGAAAAGAAAAAGAAAAGCGAAGCATGCCATCAGACAAAGATTAATCGCGGCGCTTCCGTTTCGATATGACAGAAAAAGAGGCGAGAGGAGATATAGAGAGGCAGTGTCGAAGGACGAGTGGCGAAGAAATACGATGAGCAAGGAAAGGAAAAGTATGAGGCCTTCATCCGCAGGGGAACAATAAAACGACGCGGCCCGATAACACGGCCACTCGCTGTTCGTCCGTGGGACCTTTAAGAGCGCGTGATTCGTTCTCCATCCTTTCGGCAGACCCTCTCATATTCTCTCTCAAGCGACGGATAAAGCAAACAGAAAGAGTACGCGATACGATGCGGGCCATACGCCACTACATCCGAAATCGATGACGTGGCTCGGTCGATTCTTGTTTAAAAGAAAGAGAAAAAGAAAGAAAAGAGAGAGAAAGGGAAAGAAAGAAAGAAAGAAAGAAAGAAAGAAAGAGGTGTTCTACGTGTTTCTATCCCGCGCCATTTCTCGATATCACTGTTCAACAGTACCGCCTTTCAGATAACAAACCTTAGCCCGAAGCAACCGATAACATTCCGCGCCGTTTTACAAATTTTTTAAGACCCGTCGTTTTATCCACGGTAAATTTCATCGAGCAACTATAAAATAGACGCCGACCGGCCATCGGGCGACCGCGTGGTGCCAAAGAATTTACGAGCGGACGCATGGATTTAGTATCGCTGATACCGCGTGAATAACATGCAAAACAGCTTCGCAAAAATGGATTGTAACGATTATTTTTTTTTTTACGACTACAGGCTACGTTCAGAAATTTTATCCGAGTGCACCCAGATATTATCTTATTCTTAACGGTGAACTACAGAGTAAAATAACACCAGAAAAATACATATATGTACTATAATAATACGCTACAATAATTATTTGTTTCAAGTCCATATTTGCAAATCTATATCGTAAGTTCACCACAAGCATCAAATTTATTCGAAACATGTTCTAAATCCTAATAAGTTTAATATTTTTTTTATTCAATTTTAAACTGTTATAATTTATTAAAATTATTAAATTAAAACACACTCGATCTGCTATTATACTTACAAAGTCGTTTCTGCGGCCAATTTGATAATATTCTTTAAAAAAGGAAAATTAATTTTTGTTTTGAGTACATATAATAAATGTTTCTCCAATTTGTATAATAATAAATATATTTTAAGATTATTAATATTCTTTATTAAAGACAACTGTTATTTAAAAGAAAGAAAGTAAATTGTACACAATCACTTTTCTTAGCAATAAAATATTTTTCTGTCTGACTGCGTCTGGATGAAATTTCTGAACGCGGCCCAGAATCTGCGATAATGAACGAGAATCATGTCGCATTCACCTTTTTCCACGCACTTGTTCACGCAGTCCCGCACTATCGATCCTTCGCTGACGTATTTCTGAAACAAATGAGAAAAATCGTTAGATCGACATGAAACGACCGATAAAATGGCATTGAGCGCCAGTAATATATTATATAGTATAACGGCGGAAAGCGACGAGTATTGATAAATGCCGTTGTGCAATTTGCGGCTTTTTTCTCGCGCCACCGGAGCGGCGAATATTTTATCCGCCGCGGTGAAACGATACGCGCGTTCACGCGTCGCTCACATACATACGACCAATAAATCTCCAGCAGTTATCGAGTGAGAATCAGGGCGAACGTTTCATCTGTCAATATTGTTTTGCGAGATTCCCCAGCGTGCCCTGTAGCCACGCGTAAAAAAAAAGAGGGGGGTGAAAAAAGACACGACGTACAATTCGAAATTTTTTCGACGAGGAATGAAATATAACACTCACGTGTCCGCGTCTGTAACGAGAAAGGAAATGAACGATGATAGTACAATTGCACTATAAATGTGCGAAATATCTCGCGATGTCGTTCTTCGAACGCATTTCATGCAGCAACTGGTCGCGAGACCAAATTTCGAAAATTCCTACGTGTTTCGGATGCGGATTATTCTGATTTCTGCATCGCTGCAGAGTGGTATAGAGTGGTCACATACGAGGCGGAGTTACAGGACGATCAGGAACGACAAGTACGTGGCTATGATCCTTCAGCAGGCCCTGATTGGTCAAACGGAAGTCCCTCGAAGCGGAGTATGTCATGTAGCACGGGATGATCGATACTCAGCGATTATAACGCCCCGAGGACGTCGTACATATTAAACCCTCTAACTGTTTCCTCCCCTCCCTCCCCTCCGCCCTCTCTCTCTCTCTCTCTCTCTCTCTCTTTCTCTCTCTCATATATTTACCTCTCTATCTGTATCCTCCCTCTATTTAATAAACTCCTTTTTGCCGATCAAGAATTTCGCAGTAAGGAAACTCGCTATTAAAGTTTCCTAACGTGACCGCTAAAATAATATGAGATTGAAAATCAAGTTGATTGTCCGATACTCTTCTTTCCAGAGCTTAGACAGTAATCCTTTATGTCTCGTTTGTTTCTTTGAAAACTCTCATACGCAGAATCAATCAGTATTTCTTGCTTTATTACATTAGCCGTGTTGCGAGTACACGGGCGAAAATAGTACAAAAGTATTCACCGATTATATAGTTTCATTTTGTAACAATGGTCTTTTGAAGATCGAACGTGTTTACTTGTCTATATAAAATGCGGATTTTTGCCGCAGAAAATTTGGCGAGAATTTTTGTAAACTAGACTCCAACGAATAATAAATTCTTAATGAAGTCGTTCCCTGCAAAGAATTTACGAAACCGTACAACAACTTCGAAATAACGATGAACTTCGTATCGCAATCATCAATATATTGCGATGACTACAAACGTAATGGAGGCGGAATATTTTCGAAAAAAAGAAAGGAAAAAATTAAACAATACAAGAAAAAGAAATTGATATTCAAATTTGTATGATCGTGGTTGAAATATAACCACATTTTAGGGACAGGGACATCGCAAATGCATAATTGCAAAATAATGAGCGATATTTATCAAAGAGATTAACGAGAGTGAAAACCGCAGTAATAAATGTTAAAATCATGAAACTGTTTTAATTGCGAGTGTTTCATTGTGGCAATTTTCAAGTAAGAGTGGGCAGAAATTGTTTCGCACCGTACGCTCGTTTCGCTGCGAGAGCCTGCGAGCAAATTTGTAATAGATATAGATCGTCGATCGATTTTCATCGCGAATCCCGCTCCCACGAGACGTGGCGGACTGTACATCGAAAAAACTTGTAGTCAGTACGTAGAATTAATTTATCCTTTAACTAGTCCTGATAGGCTAGTCTACTATAAAAAATGCAAATATTATTCCCGAGGGATAGATTTATTCCTAAACGCCTCATCTGACAATTTCTTAGCAGGGATTATTAATTAATCCCTTAATCCGGATGTTTAATTAAAGGGAGCAAATAATTAACAAAGAGAGTCTTATTTTATCATAAAAAAATTAGATTTATATATCTTTTTGACACATTCAAAAATCGCGATTGATTCGAGCAATTTTTATTCTCAAATCAGTAACGATGAACAAAACAAACGTGACTTACACAAACGTGCCTTTTTCTTTTTCCTTAACTTTCAGCTATACGAGTATGTTTCTTTAACTAGAGTTTTCTTCAAATTATAATTTGTTCAGTAACACCTCCACAGCTCACCAAGAAAAATTTATGGACTAAATCCGTCTCTGCGTCGGAAGAATCTCCATTTCTTCTCTCGTGAATATTTAATCTGGAGATGCAAGCAGAGCAGAAAAAAAATGAGAGAGAGAAGCGAAAAAAATGTTAAATGACGGAAGCAGGCGACGTTATAAGCCAAGACGAAATGTCTTCAGAAGAAAAATTCAGAAAGTATGTCTCAAGAGTTATTTTTGTTGCTTTTTTGTACGCGATTGCATGGAAGTAGATATACTTGGTGGCGAAACACAACCGGATTGACTATGCGATACCAGTTTACTGCGTTTTTCCTATCTTCACGCAATAAACTTTATCGACCCAAGTTTACAGCACAGATTTGTGGTTTTCCGCGGCAAAACGCATTACAGCGACCACGAGAAATCTATCTGCTATCACGACTTCTAATCCTAAAAAATGAAGATCGTCGATAAATTTCCTTTATTCGTTAACGATAGTATGTCCTGTGTTTAAAAGATTTAAAGGACAAGAGTAGAGATTAAATCCATAATTCAAAAGCTCTTCTTTTAACTTATCTATTTTATTAGGTTGGTCAGAAAGATTTTTCATATTTCTGCGTAAACTTTTTGCAAAAATACGAAAAGACTTTCTGACCAACCTGATAAAAATATCATAAAACACGCTTTGTTTAAGAATTTATTTAATCTACCTTTGTTCCGGATTCTTAATTTCGTATACTAAACTCGAGAGCGAGAGAGAAACAGAGTGAATAAAATTTTTGAGTGTTAAGTTAATAGCAGAAAAACGAAAGTAATAAATGAATTGATCAATCACAGTAGACAACGTAAAACAAATCCAAAATGTTAATTTACTTATATCCTATTTTTTTATATACTATTGTTTTTAATTATTCACTATTATTAAGGCTGTGACACGCAAAAAATTTGAACAGTAAGACGTAAATAACTAATCAATATCTTAGATTTGCTACTGCTTACGTTATTAAGCCGTAATCATATTAGCAATTACGCGATAGTGATTAACAAAAATTGTAACTCATGTAAATCACAATAGCGCAATCGCTAGTGTAATTATGTCTCTATTATAATCGATTGATTCACTTACTGCTTACGTCTTTTACTGCTTTATATTTTTTTTTTTATGCCATAGTTTTCATCAACATTATAATTGACATAAAAAAGGTTAAATGTCAACAAGATACGGTTGCCTGATAATCAAATGTACAGCTAACTCTTAACTATCCATATTTCTCGTATATCAGAAAAAAGCTGTTCTCGAGTCTCGAGTAAAGACACGAAGTAACGATACCTGAGAACCCCGGAAAGTTGCCTATCACTATTCCTTATCGCTTTCTACCGGCTTCAAGTCACAGCTTTAAGTGCTTCTCAGACACTTGAAAGGCGATCGCACCCGCTTTGCGTCGGCGGCCGATACTTGGAACCGGAAATTGAGAGTCGGCAATTGCATCGGCGGCCCGATAGAGAACGAAGAGGATGTAGCTGGAAAAGTTCGTCGGAGCATCCGGTGTGCGAGAATTGTTTTTCTGCTTATCTCGCGCTCACCTCACGAACGACTACCGACGTAATGCCAACACGAAGCGTCATTTGACGAAAGGAAGAAATTTAATGGGAATAGGAATCGAATTTCTCGAAAGCACTCTGCATCACAGTTCATGTTAAATTTCCATTTACGAGGAAATTGCTAGAATAGATAAAAAAGGCAGAATTATATATGTACTTGTATAACATATATGTATGTTATAATGAATTAAGATGTTACAAATTATTCATATATCTTTCTTTATAAATTTTTTGCAGATTTTAAATATAGATAGAGCAAGATTCAAGAATAAAAATTAATTAATAAATAAGTAACACATTTCGAAGGAACGCGTTTTACGATGAGATTTTTAAGATTCTAGACTTTAACAGTTTTATAAAGCATTTATTTGCCTCAAATTAATTTGCATCAAAACTGGTCCGAGACTACATTTACAATTAAAATAGAAATTGAATTTTAAGAAAAAAAAATTTTATATCATTTTTCTCATAAAAGAATAAAAAATAAATTAAGTTTGTGTTAAATTTATTAAGAAATAAACACAAAACTAAATTTAACACATGAAATATATATCATAATTAATTTTTTTTTAAATGATTCTTACTGGAACGTTACTAATGGCAAATTCGATTGGAAGCACTATTAAAGCCATTGTACACTGATTGAATTTGATATAAAAGTGAAATGCAAATATTTCGAATTATAAAATACATATTTTACCTAATAGCACAATAAAATGTATTGAATATTTCAGGATTTAATTAATTTCTATGTTTATATATAAACATATCTTTTTATCTTTGATTTTGTGTACACCGGCTTTAATGTGCACCAGTGCGCACTGAGTGCATCCAATCCAATTCGCTATTGATTTTTAACGCATTTTTCTCGAAAAGTTTATTTTTAGTTAGATTTTTTATACATATATGACTTTTATAACAATGGGAGTTATAAATCCGCTATTTTTCATTGAAGTGAATGGACAATGCGGATGTTTCTTAAACGTATAACTCTTGCAAATTTTGCTTCTCGAAAATACGAAGTAACTGAATAATAGACAAGGCTAACGACACGTGACAAGAGTGCGAGCTACTTCGCACGAAGTAAGTGCGAGTACCGCCGTTGAAAATTTACTTATGGGATAAGGCGATAAGTAGCGGCGCATTTGTGTCTTGGATAACGCGTTGAGTGCTCGCTCCGTTGGCGCAATTTATTGACTTCATCGATCTG